CATTAACCAAAAATACTTTTCCATGTCTCGTTTTTCCCTTTTGTATTTTTTTAACATGATTTCTTAACTAGCGTTCCTCCGACATTATCAGTTTTTAAAAGTGTTCACTTTAACTTGAACGTGGATTACTAACTCTTTTCATTCTTTACTACTGATCCCCGTCAGCTTCAGTTCTTCATTTTCGCACCCTCACCCCCTTTAACTAGTGGTCAGTAAATTCCCGCGGTTTTTATTTTCAGTCGCACGCTCGACGATTTTTAAAGCAAAAAAATAGAGGGTGTTTTACGGTAGTTTGTACTATCACAAGTCTTTTGGACGCTATTTTTGGTACCCAGCTAAACTGTTAGTCTCTTTTGATCAGTGAAAAGGTTGAGAACAATGGAATTTTTGTGTTCTTGTTTGTAGGGGTGGAACAATGTGTTTTATATGTTAATTACCGCTGACGTTTTAGCGGCCATAGTAAGTGTATGTCTTATATTTTCAATTCAGTGTCACGGCTTACAATAGCACGATAGTAAGTCCGACGGTTTTCTTATGCAGCTTTTGTGAGATCGTCTCTTGTGGTTAAACGCTATGTGTGTATTTTATTTTGGTGGGTTTTAAGTACTTTTGTAACAGTAAACATGGAAAAGAGGAAATAGTGTCTGGCATCAGTTAAGAATCACTGATCACTGAAGACATTACACGTTTCTGGGAAACTGCCCACATACCCCTCCCCTAAGCCAACATTAACACTTACCTCTCTTTTAGGGCAAAATGTTGGCTTAAGGGAGGGGCAGGTGGGCAGTTTCCTGGGAACGTTTTATGATCCGACATTATTACCTGCATATAAAATACGAATAAATGGTTTGATTTTTTTCTTGTTTAGCTCCTCATCAGGCAAGTGGTATTTGAAATAGAGAAAGTTTGCTGTCCACGCACCATGTGAGTATTGTGGCATTCTAATCTTAATTTTTTAGGCCCTTGGAGCATTTTAAAATCATTTTTCATGTGCCTGGGAGTGAAGGCAATAGATCAATACGGTGTATATCATTAGCATTAGCAACAAGACATCATCATAGAGTTATCATATGATGAAATTCATATCAAAAGAACCTTCTTACTACCTTTCTCTCAATTTTCTTCACAGAGTGCTCTCTCACTTACCTTATGTGGAATCTGGCATTCATTCGGACCACCCGGGACGAGAAAGCGAACAAGAGCCTCTACTACAAAACTAAGTAAACCTGCCACTAAACGTTGCTTACTCTCGATTGCGAAACAAACCCAGGAAGAGGACTATGTAGCCTCAGGTTACTAGATTGGATTAAGTAGTGATTTTGATGTGTTTAATTTCTCACCAGTGCCAGGCGTGGGAAATCATTTAGAGAATTAATTTAGGCCAGTCTGATCAAGTAACTGACCAAGAAAACGCTCTACATATACTTAGGGACTGTAGTTAACCAGATAATTTATAAGCATCGACAAAGTACAACGTCTTAAGTTTGCTGTCTGAATTTTGTTAAGGACTCTTGCATAGCGACATCAAGCTTATTTTTGCAGTTGATATTTTGGGCCTAGACGTTTAAATGGCAGCGGGCCATTGCAATGGCTTCGTCAATGCTTATATATTAGGATGTTATGTAACTGGTGGATTTCTGCCTTTTTCGACACCTGAGACCTGAAAGATAAGAAGGTTTGTCCGTGCTAGTTTTTACAAGGGTTTTTTTTTTATTTTCAATCGAAAATGTGTAAATAGCCTAAAGAAAATATTCACACTGAAATTTTAACATCATAAGCTATTTAGTGGCCGCTTGCTTGGGCTATTTGTTTTATTTCCCCAGGGTGGTGGATTTATTAATACAGTGTAACTGTGTTTTAAATTTGGGAACAATTAAGAGAGGTCAAGTGTTTGATTTTTTTTGTTCCTTTTTTTAAAGATACATATAGGTGGGCGGAATTTTGAAAAAATTAGTATTTTTGTCAAATTTTTATTAAATCCATTATTGGGTTTAAAATCCATATATTTTTACTATTCTTAAACAGTAATAGGATCAAGAGGATTAACGAAATTATCTTTAAAAGGAGATTGAATTGAACTTTTTCGAGTGAGTGGCTAGAGTAGTGAAAAGAGGAATGAGTCGTTCCTCTTCTTTGTTACCCAATTGCACTGTCGAGCAGTGGAAAATTCACTTCATTCGTTAGGTTTTAAAAATGAAAATAAAGTCAGTTTAAAGTGTCTTTTTGAGTCTGTCTTTCTCAAACATGGCGGCCTGTAAGATGTTGGTTACGTCCTCGTTTTCAATCTTGATGTCTATTGGTCTATTTCCGCTCTTATCTCGTATGTTGAGATCAGCATTTGCCTTTACTAACATCTTTGTAAACTTAATGTCGTTTCTTTGAACACACATGTGTAATGGCGTCTCGTGGGCCTCATCTGAAAAAGAAAGAAAACAATTCTGGAGGCGCTGCTGTTTTTATCGTTTGTTCTGTACATTAGTTCAAAGAGTAGCCAATAAATGTCCTTCCTTAATCCTGGCTCAATAGCGTAGTACGTATCCCTTTTTGTAGAACATTTTCAGAGTGGCNTAAAGATACATATAGGTGGGCGGAATTTTGAAAAAATTAGTATTTTTGTCAAATTTTTATTAAATCCATTATTGGGTTTAAAATCCATATATTTTTACTATTCTTAAACAGTAATAGGATCAAGAGGATTAACGAAATTATCTTTAAAAGGAGATTGAATTTAACTTTTTCGAGTGAGTGGCTAGAGTAGTGAAAAGAGGAATGAGTCGTTCCTCTTCTTTGTTACCCAATTGCACTGTCGAGCAGTGGAAAATTCACTTCATTCGTTAGGTTTTAAAAATGAAAATAAAGTCAGTTTAAAGTGTCTTTTTGAGTCTGTCTTTCTCAAACATGGCGGCCTGTAAGATGTTGGTTACGTCCTCGTTTTCAATCTTGATGTCTATTGGTCTATTTCCGCTCTTATCTCGTATGTTGAGATCAGCATTTGCCTTTACTAACATCTTTGTAAACTTAATGTCGTTTCTTTGAACACACATGTGTAATGGCGTCTCGTGGGCCTCATCTGAAAAAGAAAGAAAACAATTCTGGAGGCGCTGCTGTTTTTATCGTTTGTTCTGTACATTAGTTCAAAGAGTAGCCAATAAATGTCCTTCCTTAATCCTGGCTCAATAGCGTAGTACGTATCCCTTTTTGTAGAACATTTTCAGAGTGGCATTGGGCTTATTTGTAGTATAAAAAATTGCTTAATCCAGGTTTTTTTTTTTTTCACTCCAAAATAACAGGCGACGGAATTTTTGTAGTGTAGCAAATTTCAACAAAGTGACCGAAAACGGTTTTCTTCAATTGCAGTTATAAAAAGCGCCACCACTGTTGTCAAGTTGTAAGTAACAAATCCACCAAAAAACTGTCTCCTTGTGGCGAAATTTTAGTCGTCTGCAATTCTCTTGGTCCTTAAAGAATCGAGAACTGTTTTAAAGCAACTTTGTAAGCTACAAGCGAACTTAGCAACTTTTGCTTTCCAGAGACATGAGCTTAACAAAGATGTCAAAATGCACAGAACTTTTGTCTTCTTTTTTTCAGTTGCTCACATCTAATTCTCTTAAGGTACTCTGAATTTGTACTGTTCGTCATGCAATTTTTCCACCTTCAACTCAGTTTAAATTGGCAATAAATTAAAACAGAACAGCAGTTATGAAATGTCGCCCCGCAGGAATAATACCGCTCCTTATGATGATTCTCTTCTCCTTCACTTCCCCTCGCCCTTTCTATTTTTCTTCGTTGATGTGATTGTCGCCTTTGTCAGTGTTAGACTCTAAGGGCTAGTTATTTAAACGGAATCTAATTTAGCACGTGTTCAACAAAACCGCGTTGAAAACCATTTTCCGAGTACTTAATGCTTTTATCGGAACACCATTTATCGTAAACAATTTCACTAAAGCATACTGCGTAGACTGGGAAAGTACCTATTTGCTCTTAAATTAACCCCTTAACAAAGAGATCTGGAGGCCTAAGTTAGATTTCGTTTAAATGACCCACCCAAAACTGAGTCTGCGGCCGGTTGATTTTTTCGTGAATGTTATCTACAGTTCCCCTTCCTCCCTTTTCCCTTTTTTACGCCTGCCCCCCGGAATTGGTTCTTGTTTTAACAAATAACTCGTTTTAGTGAGCAATATGATTATTGATGAGCTCATCCACAAGTTGCTAGCACAGTATGTAAGGGCTGAATGACACCTTCCTTCGTCGAGAAGATATTACTAGCGAAAAAATCTTCCGCCCCCCGAATACACATGGCAAGCAAGTGCTTATCCAAACCTGATATGGCGTTCACTTTAGCTCCACTCGCAATAAGTAACTTCCCGATTTCGTGTTTTCCACAACGAGAGGCGTGATGAAGAGGAGTATATCCTTTAAGAGACCTAGCTTCCACATCAGCGCCAAATTTTAAAAGTAATTCCGTGGACTTTTCTTGCCCCATTCGTACGGCTAGATGCAGAGGTGTTAAGCTTCGTTCACCAGCGTGTATTTCCGCGTTTGCTTGTTTTCTAAGAAGCACTTTTAGCACCTTATTTTGTCCCGCCTCTGCAGCATAGTGCAATAAAGTGCGCTGTGGTTGCTTATATTTGCAATTGAGGTCCACTCCGTGTTTTATAAGTTCTTTTAAGTAGGAAGAATGGCCACAGAACACACTGAAGTACGCAGAAGATAGTCCGTCACGCGTCTGTGCGTTGATGTCAGCTCCTAGATAACAACATTTTGTATATCAGGTACAGCTATGTTCACAATGTATCGATTCCAAAGAGGATGCTTCATTTGACTCACACCAAAGGGATGATCTTCTAGATGAGTGAGAGGGGCTCCGGGTATACTACCCCTGACTGAGAAATGCGATTTCCTTCATTTTGGGCCCCAAGTACTTGTTCAAGCCACGAACTTAACGCACACAAACTACTTGTTTATTAAACATAAGATCTATTTTATGAATCAGTTAATTTTCTTCATCTCTTCACGTCAACTTCAGAAAAGTGCTGATGTCCTCCATTTGCCAGCGTGAACTGTGTTTTCTTAACTTTATTTTAGTTAACAACAGAGCTGGAAGTGTTACAGGCGACGTCAGAACTATTAATGCTGTATGTTTAGTTATATCCTCTTACAAGGCCTCACAGCATTGGCTGAGACAATAAACAAATGAACAGTAAAAGTGGACCCTAGGCCTTAGAACAACAACAACAACAACAACAACAACAAAAACAGACGAGTTGCGTGCTATCGAAGATTCAATGAAATTAGAGGTTGTAGTGAGCTACCTACTATCCGATATTATCCCTTGAATTTACTTAAAGGAAACCTTACTCCTCTTCGACGTAGTGTTTATATAATACCTTCATTCACAAGTGCCAGCATACATTCCACATGACCTCGCATGGCGGTACAATGCAGTGGAGTCTCCCCATACTTGTTGCAGCTCTTCCAGTCAGCACCGTTGTTAAGTAGCAACTTCACGCAGCTCACGTGACCGTGCCTGGCAGCGTAATGAAGAGGCGTATTTGGCCCGTTGTTGTTGAATGCCGCGGCGTCTACTTTGGCGTCATTTTCCAACAGTAGTTGAAGGCATTCAGCGTGTCCGTACAGTGAGGCCTCGTGTATCGCTTGCCAGCCATAGAAGTCTTCGGCAGTAACATCTGCGCCATTTTCTATGAGGATTTGAAGGCAATTAAGGTGGCCATGACGGGCTGCGAAATGTATTGCTCTTAAACTTTAAAGGAAGCAATAAATATATCAGAAATCATGTGTATATTAACTATAAGTAAACCAAAAACTGTTCACTGAGTAACAATTTCATAGAAAACCTTCAAGTTTTACCATATTCACCAATATGAACGATGAAAATATCGAGAAATATGATCGGGACTGTGAAAAATAGCGAGCGAGAGAAATGCTCATACCAGAAGTCAACATCACTATTTACAAGTATAGTATGAGTAAAGCAAGATCCGTAATTTGGAATCCCTTATAGGGCGTTTACCTTCTACTTTTAGATTGGCTTATTAAAAAGCAAATGTTGATCTTGTGCTGAGAGCTTTCTCAGTGGATTAACTACAATGACCGAACACATAAAAGTTCCAGTGGCATCTCTTACCCTGAAAATGGCGACTCCCTTTCATTTGGATCCATTCCCTGTTCTAAAACTAGTAACAATTCATTTTCTTTTCCATTGCGAGCACTTTCTAACATAATATTTTTGGGATCCTTAAGTTCGTCGTTAATGAACCACCGCGTAGGACTTAATTTTCCGGAGGTGCGCACCCCTGCAGAAGCCGCCGCACCCATGCTGTCCACCCGTTATTTTTGCTTGATGATGGTCAGCTTTTAACAGAGTCTACTTGTTTAATTAACCATTTTGACGCAACTTGGAACAATCTCCAATTTAAGAATTAGAATCGTGACAAATATCGCGCTTGTTAACTGTCGAAACATCACTCTTCTAGAACACAGCACAACACATACATAACAAAACTACACGTTCGACCCGACTGGAAATCAAACAGAGGGCCAACCATTCGCGCACAGTTGCTTGATTTTGAAGATCTGATTGTTTTCAAGGCGTTCGCTGGAAATTTCCTCTTGTCGAACCAACCTGAATCTGATGCCCAGGGTGTTCAGGCTTCTTGTGGTTGACTTTTAGAGCAGGGAGTTTATCAGGTTTTAATATATACTTTGTTTATAATGAATCGGGAAGCATTATTTTGATTTTGCTATCCTGCGGAGCATTCTTTCGCGTGTGAGGATAGTGCAAAAGCGATAAAAATATTAATTACTCATCGGGTGTCGGGCGATGGGAACTCATATTTGTTGTACATATGAAAACAAACTAAACACCCAAAATAAATTGCAAAAATTCTAAAAATTCCTTATACGTGACGCGCACGGTTGGGTTTAGCCAATCAGGAGTGACCGTAGGCTTTTAAAGTTGACCGCGTGCGCGTTCGACAGTTCTTCATACTGCATTCACAAGGAGCGAACGAAATTTTTCAGGTAAGGTGTAAGGAAAATTCCACTAAATTTGAGTTTAAATTCAGTTTTCTTATCGCTTATTAATCAATATCCCTTGCTCTCAATCCATGTTTTAGCGAAGATATGTCTCAGTTTGAGTTTGAAGCGGGAGTGAACGATTGTCTGAAGAAGCTTGAAGGTCCGTTGTCTGGAGGACCTATTCCACGTTGGCAAAGAAAGGAACGAGACGGGAATCTAGCATGCTCTGGAAAACCTTTTTCACCTCTTCAAGCAACTTCCCGAAGCCGACTCACATTAAATTTGTCGTCACAAACCTATACTCCCGGCGGCAAGAAGGCGAAAACCCCTTCCAAGTCGCCAAAGAAAACTCCGCTAAAGTCTCCAAAGAAGTTTGGACTTTCTCCTCGCGGGGACCGGTTTATCCCAGCTAGACCGCTTGTAGACTGTGAGTGGAGTCATTTTCAGATAATGCAGGGAAGTGAAGCAGCTGATTCTGTTTATGATATGGAACTGGAAGGAAACAATGAATACCAGGCAACTATGGCCGAACATTTGGGAACAAATTCTACCTGCAAGATTCTCCGCTTCAAGTCTGGTGCTCCAATGACCAAAGAAGGTTGTATATATATGTTGTTATGTTAAGATAATACAGCTATTATTTTATGACACAGATTCATCACATGTAGCAATCAGTTTGTGTATTCCAAATGATCCATCTTTAATGATGTTAATAAACTAAAAGTCTGCAATTGAGTCCCACCAGATAATAACCAGAATTCCACTCTCTTCTCTAGAAAAAAATCTTAATCATCTTTTTGTTTTGTTTTTGTTTTTTATTTTTTGCATAGGGCACCAGAATAAACTGAGAGTTTTGTATTGTCAGGCCAAACCCGCAGCACCTAAAGTAAAATCCTCAAGGCATATTCCACAAGCAGAGGATAGAATTTTAGATGCTCCCGACCTGTTGGATGATTATTGTAAGCTATTAAAGAGATACGTATAAATGAAGGCTCTGAGCAAACTTTTCTTCTTTTCCATTGCTTCTAAGAATACGCTGTACAGTAAATTCCTTAATGAACAAGCTATTTTGTGCAGTTTGAGAAATTATGATAGGCCTTTTGATTTATTTCCTGAGCCAGGTGTCTTTAATTTGTGATCCAAAGGTGAAGTCTAGCTTCATACTATAGAGTTTACCTTGTTGGGAATGTGAACTGATGTAAGTAATAACTAGGAAATCATGTTTTAGCCATGTGCATGTTTTCAACTGGATAAAGAAAACCACTGGTTTACTAAGAAAAGGAAGCTTAATTGCAAAAGATGTGATTAGACTATTTTTTGAAGTATGCAGGGACAAAAAGAAAAGAGTAATACAAGGTTTGACATTTCCCATTGTGTTGTCAAGATACTAATTATGTGTGTAATTTTTTACTTTGATAAGACAGGATAAGAATGATTTATTTAATATCTTCGGAAGAAATTGTCCCATGTGCAATTTGCATTCATTTAGAATTGACAGTTAAATGTATTCATTTCAGATCTGAACTTGTTAGATTGGGGATCACTGGATCAGTTGGCCCTTGCATTGGCTGGTGCAGTGTACATTTGGAACCCCAGTAATGGTGAAACTTGTCACTTGATGCAGTTGGAGGGTGAAGACTATGTGTCCAGTGTAAGATGGATTGGGCAAGGAAGTATCTTGGCTGTTGGTAATAGCAACTGTCAGGTCCAGGTAATAAGAGAACATACCTCTTGATAGCAGAGTTCTCGGTCCGTACTGTAAATTGGGGACCAAGTTTTATTCCATCAATTTATGGCCCAAGCATGAAGTGCATGGGCCATAAATCAATGGAAAAAAATGAGGATCCTTAATTTACAATATGGATCGAGAAAACAAGGCTAATAAAATGTTTGTTACATGGCCTACTGATTGGGGGAACCAAAAACAAGTGTAGGACACATGATTTCATAGGTGTCAATAAAGGAAGTTCTTATTGGCTCATGAAAAAACAATAGTGCATAACAAAGGCTCTCCTAGAAAGTGAAAACATACGTGGCTTGTTGAAAAAGTTTATTTGGTCAAAACTAAGAGCACTGTAAGTTGGTCTTTGTAAAAAATACTGCAAATGGCAAAGAAGTTAAGCTTGTCAAGGTAAGTTTGTTGTGTCATTGTCGAAGGATTTGCTGATTAATTTTCTTTGGTCAAACGTCTCAAATCCCTACCAGTCCGTTCTTGTCTGTTTAATTGTGAACTGTGTTAAAACTTTCAAACTATGACTTGAATCCTCTTCCTCACAGGGCTGTCATTAAGAGGCGCCAGTGCCATGGATTTCTTCAGGCTACTATGAACGTGTCCCCAGGCTACTTTTATAGAAAAATAGGGGAAAAATAGAACCAAAGGAAATCCCTAGCTGTTTTTTTGCCCGCCTATTTGTTGTATTTACCTGGCTTGTACTTTAGAATCACTGTAGGGTCAGGAGTCATTACAATGTTAAGGTCCCAAACGTGTCAGAACTTTTCAGGAACTTAAAATCCCCTTCAGGAACTTAAGGTAAAAAGGAACTTTTCAGGAATTTAAAGCATGTAAGTCCTTGAAATTTCTTGAATTTTCTTGTACTTTGAATGTAGTGGCCTGGAAAGTGTTTTTTGATGATTTTGCTTGTCCAAGACAGGATATGAATGATAGCTCAGAGAATTTAAAGGTTATTTGTACAAAGTGCTCAATGTTTTATGCAGTAATTAACTATCAATTCAAGGCAAGTGAACTGAAAAATGAAGAGAAGTTGGTGAAGCAAACAGTTCAAGCCTTAAAGCCTTATTATTAGAATAGACTGGGAAAGTGCATTTTTGTAGAATCTGTGAAATTATATTCCTAGTAGGTGGTCTTTGAAAAGTCCTTGAAAAATGGTTGCAATTTTTTATATGAACCCTGGATTCAGTTTCTTCATCAACTTTGTTCTCATTAAAACACAGCTAGGTTAACTTGTAGGAACAAAGTCAACATTCCACTCCTAAAGGTTTACAGATGTGTTTAATTAACTTTTTTTGCTCATCATTTTTTTAAGATAAAAAAATTTAAAGCTGCTAAATGACCATTTAGTTTTAGAATTTTTGTGTGTAAGTAAGTTACTGTATGGACCACATATTGATCGATCGCAGGTCAAGAACAGACTTAGCCATAAAATAATTTCGTTTATTACATTCCCGGGAGGCCGAGGGGGGGGTACTCCCTCACAAGAGGCTAATAGGGATGTGCCGCTGGATGGGGTTGCATTTTCACGACTGGACTGACTATAATGGGGTTGCATTTTCAATAGATTTACTAGAATGGGGTCGCAAATTTTTGGCAAGTTAATAACAGACTTCACTAGCCGGATTCCACCAGCCCCGGGCTATCGGACACTACTTTCTTTGCACCCTGAGGGTTACATCTTTCATGGACTGAAAAACTATTATTTTTTGACAAACATGACATTGCAGTTGTGGGATGTAGCACAGTCAAAGTGTATTCGTGTAATGGAGGGTCATGTTGCTAGAGTTGGATCACTTGCCTGGAATTCTTTCATTCTCTCAAGGTAAACAAATAATAAATTTGCATAATTATTTGCCAAACTTTGTGATGCACCTTGAACTATACTGGGAAGGAGGGGTTAGGGTTAAGCAGAGCCTGACCTTATAAGCCATTATAGAGAGTTTCCCACCCCAGGCCTTATACAACTCATCCTGTACAGTCAGTTTTTTGCAGATGACATGTGAGGGTCACTTAGTGTGATTGAGAATTGAGAGTCACTTTGTTGTTTCCTCAGCAGGGAACAACTTATTTTTTCACATACTTTAATACAGTATGGAAGCCTGCCATGCAATCACCTAGTCAATAAAACCATTTTTTTATTACCAACACTCAAACTTCTGATGTTGGCCCAAAGTAAAGTTGGTGTCATTTTCTTATTTTCATGAACAAAAACAATACAATCATTGCTTTTTTAAATTTAAAAGTACATATTAAAGTGTTTTCAGAGTGAGTAAATTGGGGTAGCTCAAGTTGTAGAAGGATGCTTTTAAATCTCAATTCATACTAATATGAGCTTTTTTAACTCTTTAGACTAGATATAAAATTTGTAATATGAACCACAACAATTATTGTGAGCAAGTATCAGCACAGATATGCAATTTTATATTACTTGTACCCTGTACATGCAAAATGTAATTTATGGATAAAATTGGTACATTGTGTATTCTGGGCCTAACTGTGTTCACTGGTTAATGTGGTTCCTTCTTAGTGGTTCAAGGAGTGGTGCCATCCATCATCACGATGTTCG